AAAGGTTCCAGGGCGGCTGGGAAATGTTCCTCGAGTAGGGGCAGGGTGCGGGAAAGGTTCCTGGGGGGGAAGGAGGAGTGGCAAGTGAAAGGTTCCAGGGAGTCTGGGAAATGTTCCTCGAGTAAGGGAAGGGTGCGGGAAAGGTTCCTCAAGGACAGAAGGATTCTGCTCATTGGTTGTTCTAGGCTTTCTGACCCTGGACTGTTTCTCTCTAGGATGAGTCTCTGGTGGTCTGGAAGGAGGTGGGGTTGGCTCGGCTAAAAAAAAGGGGATGACATCACGGAGGGGAGGTGACATAATTGAGAGGGGGATAACATGGGAGGGGAGGTGACATCACTGAGAGTGGAGGTGACATCATTGCCGTGGATGTTGACATCATTGAAGGGGGAGGTGACATCATTGGGGGGATGACATCGTTGAGAGAGGGGAGGTATCACGTACCTGAGGCTGAGACTGGAAGATGGGGAGGCGTCTCTTGCGATTCGTGTCCTGCGACCCCTTGAGTTGGGAACAGAAGGGTGCAGGGCAACGAGGAGCACGAGTGCCGTAGGCTGGAAACACCCACTGCATGGTGACAACCGTGAAGGGAAGTCGGGAAGCCAAGGTCAAATCCGGTCGGGCAGGCGAGGTACAAAATCGTAAGGCAAACTCAATGTCCAGGAAACAAGCCGAGGTCAGGGGCTGGCAGCAAGCAGAGAAGGGTCCAGAGCAATCCGAGTCAAGGCAGGCTAAAGTAACAGATACAGAACACAGGCACAAACACTAAGCTGACAAGACCATCAGCAAAGCCAGAGAGGCTGGCTCCTCCTTTTATAGTCCCAAGGCTCACACAGCTACCTCACTTCCTGTGCGTTTTCCCGCGCACCTTGCCGCGATTCTCGCAGTTTGCAATCGTGCCTTTACGGGAGGTGTGACATCATTGGGGGATGACATCACTGAGAGGGGAGGTGACATCATTGCGGGGGATGGGGGAGATTCTGTAGTAACGTCTCCGGTTTGTCTTCGCAGGGACATTAAGACGTTGAACATTTTCCTCACCAAAGCCAATCTCATCAAGCTCGGGGACTACGGACTGGCCAAGCAGCTGGGCTCGGAGTTCTCCATGGCGGAGACGGTGAGACTCTTCTAGAATAAACACAGAACTCTGACAGCCAGAGAATAC